GATCCTTTGCCCCCCAGCACACTGAACAAAGGTGTACACGTCTTCCTACAATTACGTGTGCTACTCGTATGAGAGCAGGTCGGCTTGGAATAGTCCTCATGTCCCCCAGGTGGGCAGACACCTATTGCCCTCAGACTCAGCCAAAGGACAGCTGTCACAGTGCTGGCAAATCACAGCCTGCTTACTGGGTACAAGACTGGTGAGTTCGGAGACACACATCTCATGCCAGCTTTGAATGCCCATTGGTAAATAACAGGCATTCCACTGAATACATGCTATCACAGAACAAGAACCACTATTAGGCATGGCCCTAGTTAAAGTACTTTCTTTCATTTAATCTATAAAACAACCTCAGGAAGCTATTATCATTTTACAGATGAGAAAACTGGTATCAGAAATGGAGTGAAGAGAGGAAATAGTCCATAAAATGCAAATATCAAGAAACCACTGTTACCAGTTTTCACATCTCTTTAGCCTACATCAATTACCTCAATAAAAAATTTACACAATCATAAAAAAATTTCTTTCAGTAACTTTTCATGATTTAAGCAGAGGCAAAGTCTTTCTGTGTTTCTAAAATGGTATCAGATCATTATTCAAGACAGTCAATTTTCATCTGAAGCATAACCCAATATTACTTCGTGACTTGAATTTCAATATCACCAAAGGAAGATCGTATTGTGAGAGTGTAAATCCACCAAAATCTACCTTTCTTTTTCGGTTCCACAGTAAAAATTTTTTAAAAATTTTTTCTAATGAGGCAAAGTATTTTATTTCAAGAACTGATCTTTCTGAGCAATAATGTACTTCCCCTTTTTAAACAGCAAGATCATTAATTAAATGATACTAATAGAAGTCTTTTATTTTGCTTTTATTTTATATCCTTTCTTAGCAGGAGGGACAGGGACACAAAAGGTATCTCTTATTTTTTCCTTTTTAAACTATTTTGTGTAATCCCAGGGTTTGGGAACACTAGGATAGACCAGGATTCTACATCCAGTACTACAGTTGGATTCATTTTGAACCTTGGCCAAGATATGCAAAGCTAATTATAGAAGTGTTAATTACTAAAACTTTAAAAGGTTATTAGAAGGCAACTAAGCTTCTACCAGTATTGCAAAAGTACGTTAATATTTTTTACCATAAATTTAAGCCTTCACTTAAAAGTCACATGCTAATGCTAAATAGTTTGAAATTAATATTTCAGCTATGTGTATTTTAACCAAAAAAAAAAATCAGCTATTATCATTAAGAAATCTAAATGCTTATGGACAATCATTTCATTGTGAGACATGCTTTTCAAATTGCACACAGTTTAGCTGTGTTTTATGGAGAAAAAACACTTAAGAAACAATTACTAGGAGAATCCAAAAATGAGCTAAAATATAATCAAAGTATAAGCTGTCAAATGAAAATATGAGTCGGATGAACAATGGTAAAAAGAAAGTCAAATGGAAAATTTAGCTGTAAGGCACAATTCTTCAGCTAGATTTGAAAGTGAATGATTTGCCAAAAATACTATTTGTGCGAATTGTCATAATTTTAAGCTTTCCCGGACTAAAGTATTTTTTTAGCCTGTTCGATATGACTTAAGATGAATTCCACTGAGTGACTGCAACGAACTAAGTCCTGCACTCTCTGTTATGAACTCTCGACAAATTCATGAGTCGCAACTCAATCAAGAGGTGTAATTCCCCCAAAATCTCAAGAGTAAAAGGCGAAGTAAAATTATTAACTAGGAGGAGATACGAGTCTGTATTATTTTATGAGACGTCTTCAGAAAGTCTTAAAAAAGTGTATTACAAAAAACTATGCATGGATTTCGGAAAGTGTTGCACCGAAACAAACAACTTTTAATTCCATTTTCCACCAACTTTTAAGTACCCTCATACACATACCATTTTAAGAAATAACTTTCCAACTCACTAAAAACACATTAAGTTAGGCCTCTGAGGTAGATGAAACAATTTTACATGTTCCACTTGGAAAACTAAAAACATTACACATTTAAACACTCTACAGAAGCAATTTAAAAGAGCCTGAACTCAACAAGTTAATAAAATGTTTCAAAAAAAAGTCATTTTATTGTATGAAGCCTTGGGGGAGAAAGCTGTTTGCAATTTAGTTACATCTTTTGCTTCACTAAATCACTTTGGTGACCACATTTCTCATTTAAGTGATTAAAGACACAAACCCAAATAATTTAATAAAGCAATTACTTATGAGTCCTGTTTTTCAACAGAGGTGCCGTGAAAAATATCAATAGGCTGTTTAGTGCCCATTATTTTCAAGGGGCTTTGTAATTATAATACAGTGCCCCATTGACTAAAACTCAGCCAGGTTTCCAGACACGATATGCGTCACACTTTGGTACTAGAGAACACTTTTTCCTTCTCTCAGGATAACAGGTGAAATAGTAACAGCTTCGTGAGTCTGAATATGCACGATTTGGCTAAAAATTCAGATGATTTTTTTTTAACAATTTCTCCTTAACATTCCTCCTCATTGATTGCATACCAAAACAGAATGGGTTTCCTTTTTTCCCTGTGGACACAAAAAACACCCAATTTAACAGAGGCCTGGGTCTCTCCCCACCCCAGACTGTCTTGTGGCCAGCTTCTTAGGTTACATGAGTGACATCCCAATTACTTCCAGGCAACTGATTGACCTAAATACAAAACTATGTCTTCAAAGGAGTTTAACAGATAAAATGTTGGAAATTAAAATTAAAAAAAATGAATTGCAGTAAAAAATTGTAAATTTTCCACTATTTTCTCTTAGAGCACCTTCCTTTGGCTGTAGAGACTCACTATATAAATCATAAAGGGAATCCTTTACTGAGTTCATCCTCACAGTCAGAAGGAAGTACAGACAGCAAAATGCCCTTCTGTTTACGACTTCAAGCTTATTTAACAAGGTCGTGTTCTTACAGCACAGGCATCCAACAATCATGAGGACAGAGTACACACAAACCTCCAGATCTGCATGAACAAAGACTGGATACAAAAAGCACCTTCTGTGAAGGTATTTTTTTTAGTCAGTGTCAAACTTTTACATTAACTATTTCTGACAAGTCAGGTAAAGATGGAAAATGATCACATTTCAAACTCCGTTCTCTTTAAAATAAATAAATGCGGGGGTGTGCGTCACCAACAAGCAAACAAACTTCAAAGTCAACTGGGCTGACACTTAAGAATGTTCAAAATGTTTGGTAGGTTCGCTGTGTTTACTTTTCGGATGGAGGTTAAGGCCCGGGCAGACACTGCGGGCGGGCGGCTTTCAGAGTCAATGGCGCTTTCACGTATTGGCGTTGGGAGTGACTGGCCCCGCAGGCCTCCGACTGGCCAAGTTCTGCGTTGGGTCAGTGTGAACGCTGTTCTACACAGCAAAGTTGAACAGTTCACTTGTTCCGCACAATGCTCACGTCGTCGGCACAGCGCAGGTTCTGTCTCCCCCAGCCCAGTCTGGTGACCCACCCTCCCCACCTGATAGGAGGTTTCAGTCATTGTTGTTCTTCACCTAATCAAAGCACCACTTGCCCCCTCCCTCATTTCCACCCAGGGCCTCTGACGTCAGGTTCTGACCAGCCTGGCAAGGTTCTCCCATTCTCGGCGTGTGATTCCACTAGGCACTTCCGACAGTGTTCCTGAAAGGAGCCGAAACACCTCACTGACACCTGCCTTTCCTTCACGCCGGGACTGGGCATGTGCACGCTCAGGTGCAAAGACAATGATGCAACTAACTGGCCATTGCCAAAGCAAGAAGCGAGGAAGGCGCGTGAGAGGCAGGCAGCGCTAAGGGAGGAGGAGCAAGATCAAAGCAAGACATTCCTCGGCCGTGATAAAACAAAAAACAGCTTTCTGGAGACACCGAAATGCATTTTCTTGTAAAACCACAGCCCATCTTCCACAGGTTTGGTAAATGTGCGGGATCCAGCCATGATCCCACAGATGTGGCAGCTCCATCAGAAGAAGGGGAAAAAAATCAAAAACGGTACCAGGTGCCATTCTTGGGGCTTGTCCAAGGCAGCCAGTGGAAGGTTCTACTTGATGCTATTCCCTCCACATTAAATAATAATAATCCACGCCAGAGAACAGGAGAGCATTTGGGTTTGAACAGATGGCATCCAACACCTAACCCTAGACGTCTGGTGGTCCCAGGCACCAGGAGGGCTCATTGGCCTTGAGCGGGTTGGCAAGCAGGACTCCCAATAGCCACCACCCCCAGCTTAGGAAAAAGCATCCTGATCCTGGATGCAGTCAGCAACCGGACGCAAAGAAAAGCAAGCCATGATATTTGGAATACAATTTGCCTCTCTACTCCAATCTGAGATGACCAAATCCAACCCCATCAGCAATTCCTCTTGTTTAAAATGAGAGAAACATAAGCCTGAAGGTAAACAAAGGTATAAAGGTTAACAAAGTTATCTAATTTTGACAAGGTTGTGCAACTCCGCAAGAACCCACAGGGTGCCCTTCCCGGGGCTGTCTGGAACAGGCCTCCCTGTGCCACTCTTTCCAAAAAGCAAAAATACACCGGCACCCCCGCGATCCACTCTACAAAGCCAACACGTCTGTGCCTTAAGGAACCGTGCAGAACTCCACCTTGGCCAACGGCGCCCCACTGCAAGGGTAGAGGGGCCACCAGCTAGGACAGGAGCGGAGCCTGAGGACAGGGAGGCAAGAACACCTGGCCAAGGCAGGCGCGACCCCCGCCCGCGAGACCCAGAAGCTCCGGGGAGAGGGAGGCCAGAGAACCCTTCCCCCAACACGCACACCCCTCCAGCCGGGTCAACCCAGGGGAGGTCAGGGGTGCAGACAGCCGCGTAAGGGAGAAGAGAATCCAAGGGACGAGGAAATCGGCCCAGGGTGGCCGGGGGAAGAGCCTTGGCAACGGGATGCGGTTGGTGGGACGAGCAGGGTGCTCAGGGCGACCGGCGCCAGGACGCGGGTCGGGGGAAACGCGGTCAAGTGCAGGGCCGCCGCCGCCGCGGGTCTCACCTGAGGGGTCCTCTCCGCGGGGTTCTTCATCACGGCTTGGCGGAAGCTGTTATCCACGTAGGACGCCATCTCCCCCCGCCGGCCGGGCCGGGGCCGGGGCCGGGGCCGGGGCCGCTCCGCACCCTCGCCGGCCTCCTCCCGGCCCAGCGCAGCCGGCGCCTCCGCCCTGCGCGTTCCGCCCGCCGCCCGGGGCCGATCGGCCAAACCCGCGGCGGCGCTGGGCCCGCGGCGGGCGGCTCGGCGGGGCCCTGCGTTCCGGAGCGCGGGACGGGCGCGAAGGGCGCGGGCTGCGCCCTGCCCCGAACCCCGCGGCCGAGGTCGGTCCCTGCGGCCCGGAGCCCGGGAACTCCTCCTCCTCCTCCTCCTCCGCTTCCTCGCCGCTCGGCCTGCGAGGCTTCCAGGCGCGCCCGGCTCCCTCCGGGCCCTGGCTCGGCACGCCTCCCCGGCTCCTCTCGGGGGACACTGGCGGCTCCTCCCGGCCCGGCGGGCCCGAGTTATTTTTAGGGAGGTACCAGTGGCAGTGGGGAGGGGGAGGGCCGCGGCAGGCGGAGCCTCTTCTGCCCCCTCCTCTCCGGGGCTCGCGCCGCCGCCCAGGGGTCCCCGGGAAGCGCTGCGATCTCCCGCGCCCCTAGTCCTTGGGCACCGGGGCTCCGGCTCAGGTCCGGGCGCTGCGAAGCCCGAGCGCCGCCGCCGGTCTCCGTCTAGTGGACTCGGCCGCGCCTCCGGACTGCTGCTGCATCCCCTCGGGCCGCCCCGCCGCCGCCGCCGCCGCTGCAGCTGCTCCCGCTCCGGCCGCCGCCGCCGGCCCCCATGCGCACGCCCGGAGCGGGGCTGCCCCGGCGCACAGGCGGCCGGAGCAGCCTTCGGGCCCAGCCGCCGCCGGCAACTTTGTTCCTCGTCTGCGCGGGCCGGGGGAGGGGCAGCAGGGGCCGCGGGCGGCCGGGGTCCGGCGAGCGGGCGTCTGCGGGCCGAGCGCCGCGCGCAGCCCCCCGCGGCGAGGGTGCTCGGGAGACGGCGACTGCCCTCCTCTTCCTCCGCCTCTTCCTCCGCCGGCGCCTTCCCCGCCGCCCGAGCCGCTCCTCAGGGAGGAAGCGGCCTCCGGGGCTTGTTGCTTTGTGCCGCAACCATGGTGAGGAGTGAGCGACGGGGCCGAGGCGAGTCGGCGGCCGCCGCGTCATCGCCGGGGCGGAGCGGCCCGCGCGCGCCGCGCCCGCCTCCCCGCGCCGCCTGCGCCGCCCGCCGGCCGCGCCCTCGCTCGGGAGCCGCACCTCGGGCGGCCGGCAGGTGAGCCGGGCGCTCGGGCCGCCTGCGGGCCCCGGGGACCTGCGCCGAGCTGGCCCGGCCGCCTGCCCAGCCGGGCCGCGCCGAGGCGCCGCGCGCGCGCGCGCCGGGGCCCGAGCAGGGAGCGCGCGGCCCCGGGCTCCGCGCCGCCGGGAGAGCCGGCGGCTGGAAGTTGACCCGAAGCCGAATTCGCAGCTCGGGCCGCGCCGGGCGTCCCTCCAGCCGGAGGGTGGCTGCGCGCAGCGTCCCTGCGGCCAAATCCTCTTAGGAGCTAGTTGCGACGTCCCGCAAGGACCGTGTGGCTGCCCTGCCTTGGCGACCTCGCTGTGGCGCCTCTCAGACACTTAAGTGACCACAAAGTTAGGCCGGGGAAAGCCTACACGAGACCCAGAAGCAGCCCCAGACGTGCCAGACTACACGCAACTTCTGTCGATAGCATCAGAAGCGTTTATTGCCTTGGGCCGAGACGTCGCCTGGACCCCAGATTTCCAAGTCGACCCACTCGGTGCAGGTCATTTGAGAGGGTACCCGTGCCTGCTGCTTCCCAGAGCTGTGGTCCAGGTGTGCAAGACACGCAGCCGAGCACTGGGGAGCGCTTGGCTGCTCTGGTCCCGGGGTTTTGTTTCTGTTTACCTTTCCCCAAACACAAATTCACGTACGGAGCCACTGAGACTTTTTTTGTGTGTGAGCTACTACACCGAACTTTTTTCAAAACGAGTTTTTAGACCATCCAGTTTATTGGAACAGATTGTCCGTTCACATTTGCTCGTCCCTAAGTCACCTGTGTGTCGCTGAACAGATCTCCCTGCGACCCTTGGAAACTGAGTCTGAGTTAGGGACTGTGTCTATAAACCCTCTTATGTTACCCTTGCTGAAGCGCCTCCCTGTGTGGCTCTCTCACTTCTCTGCCGTAGACTTCCACCTTGAAAGCAAAGGGACGTGGAAAATGTGCCGCTGCTGCTGCTCCGGAAACAGGAGGGGCTATTCCAACCCAATGAAGTGAAAAAGTACACCTGACGTCTCCACCTGGTGTCTGACAGACTCTGCTTAGGAACGTGCAAACCAGGCCCCAAACGCGCCCCGCCCACGTGCTTCTCCATCCCCAGTAATACCTTCTACACCTTGCTCTTAGGCTCCCACAGGGCTCAGCAAAACTGTCAGCTCAGCCCGCAGAGTGTCCTTCCTGGAAGCTAACCTCTGGCGGCCACTTCCGCTGCATGACCTGGGTCCAAGCTAGCATGGTTTTTGCCTGCACTTTGCAGTAAGCATCTGCCTGATCTCTCTCCATCCTCTCCTGCAACAGTCTGGTTCCAACAGTGCAGCCAGAGAGATTCTTCTCACTCCACTTAAATAATGCCTCTGCTTAGCCCCCCATCTCACTCAAGGTACCATGGCCTGAATGACCTAGGGACCTGGTGCCCCCCTCTTTCTGTCTCTGACACTCTTATTCCCTACTCATTTTCCCAGGCACATTGGCCTCCTTGCTGTTTCTGGAACAGTAAGTAAATTCTGGTCTCATGGCCTTCCCATCTTCTGTTTTCTAATGCCTGTCTTATCCTCTACCTCTCCCAGCCCACCTGCATTCAGAAAAAGAGAGAAGATAGGGAAGGGGAAGAAAGACAATAAATAGGACATTGTTCCTTACCTCTGTTTTATCTTCATTCAGATGTCATCTTCTACAACAGGCATCTGGCGTGTGGTTAAAACACCTGCATTCCACATCAGACTACCTGTGTCTGATTCCTGGCTCCAGCTCCTCATTCTAGCTTCCTGCTATTGCACACCATAGGCAGCAGTGGTAATGGCTCGAGTAATTGGGTTTCTACCACCCACATGGGTAATCTGGTTGAGTTCCTGGCACTCAACTTCGACCCTGGTTGTTACAGACATTTGGAGGCTGAACCAGCAGATGGGAGGTGTACTCCCGAACGCTCGCGTGTGCACACACAGGACCCACACCCATCTCCCTGTGAAATGAATATGTAAATTTTTTAGAAGTCATATCTCCACCCACCCTAGCTCTCTTCCTTTATTTACCACTGTCTGATGGACTGTATACTTGTTTGTCTCCCTCCCCCACTGTGATTTTTGAAACCATCCCTTTTTTAAAGATTTATTTATTTGAAAAAGCAGAGTGATAGGGAGAGACAAGGGTAGAAATTTCCATCCTATGATGATTCATCCCCCCAAAATATTGCAGTGGCCAAGGCTGGGCTAGACTGAAACCAGGATCCAGTAACTCCATCAGGGTCTCCCACATGGGTGGCAGGGACCTCAACACTTGGGCCATTTTCTGCTGCTTTCCCAGGTGCATTAGCAGGGAGCTGGATCAGAAGCAGAGCAGTAGGGACTCAAACCAGAGCCCTGATATGGAATACTGGTATCCCAAGTTCCCAAGTGGCAGCTTTACCCACTGTGCCCCTATACTTTTTTTTTTTTTTTTTTTTTTTTTTTTTTTTTTTTTGACAGGCAGAGAGAGACAGAGAGAAAGGTCTTCTTTTTCCGTTGGTTCACCCCACAATGGCCGCCGCGGCCAGTGAACTGCAGCCAGCACACCACGCTGATCCGAAGCCAGGAGCCAGGTACTTCTCCTGGTCTCCCATGCGGGTGCAGGGCCCAAGCACTTGGGTCATCCTCCTCTGCACTCCTGGGCCAGAGCAGAGAGCTGGCCTGGAAGAGGATCAACCGGGACAGAATCTGGCGCCCCGACCAGGATTAGAACCCGGTGTGCTGGTGCCGCAGGCAGAGGATTAGCCTATACCTTTTGACCATTGATATATCCTCAACACATAATAGGCAGTCAACAAATATGTATTGCATGGATAAAGAAATTAGTAACTATCATGTTACATTGTATTTATATGAGATTGTCTCTTCCTTGTGTCCCTGGTCCAGGAGAGCAAACTGGAAGAGGAAACCTGAACTCCCTGAGCCTCTTTTCTATTCTTTATGAAGGAAATAAGAACTATATGCCCTGAAGACTCACAAAGATCAAGTATATTACATGCAAAGAACCTTGCATAGTGTTTGAGCTATAGTCTATATAAAGCATAAGGTAGCTATTGTTAAGATTATTCTCATCATTGCTGTCCTTTGAGGTTAGTGGAACAGTTATTACCATCCTGTTTACAGAGGGAGGAAACTGACATGAAACAGTTCATGCGACTTGCCCCAGTTCCAGGCCTGCCTTTGGAAGAGCCTGGAGACTCAGGTACCCTTTCATAAATGCTAAAAGCTGCAGATTAACTAGGAGAGGGACCCTGCACAGTGTGCTGGCTTCAGGCTCACAGCTCTCAGCCCCCGTTCTTCCTGTCTGAGGTCCATACCATTCCAATAAAGCTCCCGGCAAACGATGCCCCAACCTGCAAGCTAAACTACATCACACCGCTCACAAAAGCCACCCCTGGACAACGTCGGCTGGGGACCAGCCTCAGAAGGTGAGTCCTGACAGCAGCACAGCCATGAGGGCAGGGGTGGGTCCTGGCATTCAGGTAGTATGGAACTCTGAGCCCCACGGCAGGACTGGGGGTGAGGCTGGAAGAGAATGGGCATTGCACAGGAACTCCTCTCCCCAGATCTCACAACCAGGAAGTGGGAGTTCCAGTTGCAAATCTGTTCTTTGGACGATTATTGTGGCACAGTGGGTTAAGCCACAGCTTGCCATGCTAGCTTTCCACATCAGAGTACTGGCTCCAGTCCTTTGCTTCAGATCCAGCTCCCTGCTAATGCACCCAAGAAAGCAGCAGAAAATGACGCTGGTGTTTAGGTCCCTGCCACCCATGTGGGAGACCCGGATGCAGTTCCTGGCTCCTGGTTTCAGCCTGAACCAGCCCTGGCCATTGAAGCCATGTGGAGTAAACCAGTGGATTAAGGATCCTCTCTCTCTCTCTTTCTCTCTCTCTCTCTCTCTCTCTGTCTCTTTCTCTCTCTCTCTCCTCTCTGTCACTGTGCTTTAAAAATGAATAAATGAATAAATTTTAAAAAATTTTATTTATTTATTTGAGAGGTAGAGCTACAGACAGAGAGATAAAGAGAGAGAGGTCTTCCATCCGCTGGTTCACTCCCCAAATGGCCACAACTGCCAGAGCTGAGCCAATCCAAAGCCAGGAGCCAGAGCTTCTTCTGGGTCTCCCACATGGTTGCGGGGGACCAAAGCACTTGGGCCATCTTCCACTGCTTTTCCAGGACGTAAACAGAGATCTGGATAGGAAGTGGAGTAGCTGAAACACAAAGCAATGCCCATATGGGATGCCAGTGCCAAAGCTGGAGGCTTAGCCTACTAGACCACAGTGCCAGGCCCCAATAAATACATCTTAAAAAAAAATACCCAAAACCCTAAGCTCTTTTTTCTCTGAGTACTCTACTGTGATACTAAGTTGTACCTCTGACCTCAGGGAAGGCCTAATAGTATGTCTTATCCATCTGACTCATGAGAACTTCTAAGCTATCATTTAACTTCAATTAAAGCTAATTTCCCACTATTTATAA